TATATATCTTAAGCTTGTGTAGTTGCTCTTGTAATTATATAGCTTGTGTAGCTAGCTAATTACCTTCTTGCTTGTGTAGCATAGAAGTAGCTCATGCGTGGCTAATTTGGTTTTAGTAACCTTGTTAGTCACATTGCTTAGTTTGTGTAGCTAGTATTTTTGCGCTCTCTAATTAGGCATTGGTTGCCTTGTTATTGAGCATTGCTAGTGAGCTTAGTTAGCTTTGTGCTTTTGCTTACTAGCATGTGTAGGAGCTCCCTTGTTACTTAAAGTACTAGTGGCATAGGTTTGTGTGACCTTGCTCCTAGAATTGTTTAGGAGAGCTCTAGCTAGCCCGGCACCTTAGTTGCATAATTAGTATCTTTGCAAGGTGCTAGTGAGCATATATAGAGGGGTGTAGTCTTGGCTAGACCGATTGTTTTAACTCCGCATTTATATCAGTTAGCCGACGCGATTAATTTTAGAAAAGACTATTCACCCCCCCTCTAGTCCGCCATCTCGATCCTTCAGCTAAGGCGCACATGGGGATACCGCGGCTGCGAGCATGGCCACGTGCTGGTGCAGCGAGTGCGCTCACGACAGTGGTAGTGCTATCGGGGCAGGGCCAGGCAGCGGCGCAGAATTGTAGAGAGCGCGGACGCGATGGCGAGGCAACGGCGCCGGCAGCAGGGGCAAGCCCACGTGTGTGATGGCGAAAAGGACAGCAGCAGCAGCACAGCGCAAGGTGGGAAGGGCGGTAGCAGTGCGACAGCGAGGTGGGGGCAACAGTGCGACTGCCAACAGCTGCAGGGCGAAGACGATGGCCCACTAGGGCCGGCCACGACCAACCCATAGCCAGATAGGCCGACCTGGCTTGGCACCGTGGCACGCGGGACATGGCCAGCCGCATGACGCTGAGCGGCCGCGCGAGGTGACCGTGCGCACAGGCCAGGCATATGACGTGCACGAATTTTAAAGCGCATCTAAAAACTAACCTAACACAGTTGAAGCTAAACTACCTTGACCATGCTAAAGAGGGTACATTAGTCTACCATAAGGAGCAAAAACACAGCATTGACCTTTAACTAGATTTTCTAGAATTAATTCACCAACATGGCATTGTCACACTGTTTTCAAACTTAAAATTCTTCCAAGTCTTGAGCTAAATTTGACTTCAAGTTCCATTTCCAAGCCATTAGAAATACTAGCTAGTCACATTATTTTTCTACAGCAAGAGCTGCATTGTCATCTATAAAGTTTGTACTTCAAACCTTATTTAGACTTGACATAACATGAGTTATTGAATAAATTTCCATTTAACATTTTTTGTCATTTTAGGCTACAAGAAATTTATCAACACCTTCTATCATATGCATTATTACATAAACATAATGCTCATGGCATGATTTAGTAGTTTGTTTAGGGCGTAACACCGATGGTGTTACAGCTCTTTTCTTCATGTTTTTTTCTCACATGATTTTTGGGATGGAGTTTTAATGAGGCAAACACATGTAGGTTGCAAAGGGCGATCCTCGCAACCAAAGTTTGAGTTGTATTTGTCCCTCTTCTTGTATGGGCATCTACTAGGTCATGCAATACCGACCATAACCCAGTAGCTGAGGGGCTATGTTGAGGGAAGCCCATATTGCATATGGGCCAAGTCTCCCCATTGAAGAGGCCCAACTAGTGCTAGTGAAGTGGCATGTAAAAACCACCCCACCAAGGTGTCGTTTGTAAATATACATTGCCTATATATAGTGCCCAAGGGCATGAGGGCAAAGAGACTCTCACTCCCTCACTCATTTGTGAGCCCTCAAAATTCTAATGTGTCCCCGTATTCACTGCCAAGCTCTCTGTCCTCTAGTCTCTGCGTAACATGTTCCGAACACTAGTCCCAACAAAAACAATCTAAAACAAACTATTATTCAGAGAAGAGAGAAGATACTATGGCATGTGTTGAGATCTAATATTATATTAACTTTTCTTCTGAAGCAAGAGATGTGAAGTTTCTCTAAAACCTGAAGCATCCAAAACCTATTAATTCATAATATGGTCTTCCATATGTATTTATGTGATGGTCCTGTGTTGCGCTAAAGATGTGTGTCTTGTGAACTTTTCTTGTAGTCCAAGCACCACATTTCACTTTATTCACAACACCCCTAAAAGTTTTTTATATGTTTTAGTCATTGATTCACACATCTAAACTATCTTTGATGACACATTAGATCTATTATATGATGTCGCAAAGGCTACTCTTTCTAGAGATTGTGTCACCTCGGCTCAACCATTGTGTATAGTGAAATCCTTTATACCAATGTTGCCCCTTAGTCATCAACTTACGATGTGCTTCCACAAAGTTATGAACAAGACTTTTTCCATGTTTACACTTAGATTTTCAACATTTTGCATCTGGTTGTGTATATTTGGATCGGGTATAGAGATTGTGTTAATCAAATAAGCACCATTGTTGACATAATCCTGTAAAAATGTGTTTCTGCAAATTTATTTCAATGATAGATTTTCTAAAAGAAAGCACAACAACAATTCTAAGATAAAATACAGATCAATAATAAAACCTCACTTGTGCATTGACCTTTGACAAACCCCAAGAAGCTTCGGGCAAGTCAAATATTGAAGTATGTGACACACCATGGGAATGTGTGGACATCTCATTGTCCAATAATCTACATCCCATATTTAAGAATATGAAGTTCTCCAAAGAGCATCCCAAGTCCTTGGTTAATTCCCACAACGATATGCATTATTGGTTTGTATCAACTAAAAGTGATAATCAACCATGCATATAATTTACATAGATAAGTGTCTTCTTAGTCTTTTCCTGCAATTAGAACCACCCCTGATACATGTAATTTTCAAAATAGTTGTGGAGTGCACCAGAATTCTATGTTGCTCACACTAGACTTTAAAATGATAATTTTGCACAATGCACATATGATCATTGGGGATTTTTAGTGGTGCACGCCAGTGCACATCAGAGCTATCTAGTACTCATGAAAAAGTACGCAGTAAGGGCATAAGAGCTAGTTGAGTGTGTAGGGCTATATATAGCTTTCTTGCCCTGGTGTTAGAACTCTTGGTCCCAAGCCTCATACACAAACAAGAGCCACTTAGAGCCTCTCCACTCACATACTTGACTTGGATTTCATCTTTGAATTTGAGGCCAACATTCTAGTGCATTGCATTGAGTTATTTCAATGAGTGGCACTAGAAGATTGTTGAGAAAGCAATCGGGTTTTCTTGTTACTCTTGATGGTTGCTGCCACCTAGATGGATCTGGTGTTATGGACTCCATCAAAGCACAACAAGGAAGGTTGTGTTGGTGCTCAGGAGATTGATTTGTGTGGGGCTATTGAGCTCATCCCCACCTGAGGATGCAAAAGGCATCTCTAGTAGAAAAGAAGTATTGAGTAGCGTCATGTTGTTAAATTCAGCATGAGATCAAGTGTTCAGGGTACTGAGACAACCTTGCGGGGTTGTTGAAAGCTTTATTTTAGATGGGCCAACAAGCCACCTCAATAAAACCAGACTACCAAACCATGAAAAATGATCTTGTAGTAGTGCTAAGTTCACCATGAACCATGCGAGGTGAACCCACTTTGCCTCCACGCTCACTGCAGGCTAGTCCTTTCACTTCAAAATATTAGAACTCGTCACGATCGACTTAGCGACTTGCAGCTCTATGACTTGGAGCCTCCTCCCGCTCTATGACTTGGAGCCTCCTCAGGCGGAGGAGGCCCTAGTGTGCTCTACCCTTAATGGCACAACTCTCATTAATGTAGACGCACTCAAGCATCGGGTCGATGCTTACCTCGGGCCTGATGGTCCACACGAAGATTGTCACCACATGTTCTACATGTTGTCCAACACCTTTGGCTAGCACTCCATTGAGGCACCCCTGCTGCTGGAGAGTGACTTCTACAGTTCCATGGTTGAGTTCCCTCTTGGCATGAGAAATGTGTCATTCGTCTTCTAGAGTGATCTCGTGCGGTGGACACACCCTCACTCTCCCAACTCCAAATTCGTCGGGATGGTGGACTATGCACCGCCATCCATCAACGACCACTTTCGAGTGTTTCTCCAGTGATGACTTTGGTTTCAAGGCTAAGAGCCCCGAAAACTACCACCTGCCCCAGAAACTACCACCTCTCCTGTGAGTGCAACACAACGAACCTTGTGCAAGAGGGTGAAGGTGAGTAGGTGGCAGGGCGGAGAGCCAACACATGTGTTAGAACAATGTGTCCAATTAAAGTACGAGTTAGAGCAACGTGTCGGGACACGGTACAGAGTCTAATCCTAAAACCAATTGAAACATATGGCGCGATCATTGGATAAATTTTAAAGCCTTTCGTGCCCATACGGGTTAGAGCAATGTGTGCCTAGTGCCCAGGCATGGCATATGTAGAGTCTAATTCTAAGATGATCCAGTAGGCATGACAATATCGCCAAATAAATCTCCAAAGCCGAGTTGTAGATCCCCTTGCAATGAACATGCATGTTTGCTAGTGTGAAAAAAAAAATCAAAGAAGCACAACAAAATCCAGAACAAAGTGATGAATAACCATTCCACATATCCAAGAATGTAATGTACTCTATCTAATGAAGAGCTGGCTAACCAATATGAGAAATAAAATTGTCACCATACCATCTAGATCATTTATTTCAATGCTAATGGCATACAAAACGCATTAGCAACGTGAAGGTCGACGACGCTAATGGCATACAAAAGGCATTAGCAACGAGAAGGTCGATGACAACATTATGGTACCAGCAACATGATCTGAGCCGAAGAGAGAACAAGAAGAGTAATTACATGGAATTAGTTGAAGGAAGTGGCATGTCATCTGCACAGCCAGAAGCACTATGATTTCTCGAGCCATATCACCGTTGTTGCCTCGCGTGCTGTTTGCCGTCGCATTGCCGGTTGTCGCTGTACCGCTGAGAGCTGCTGCGGCTGCGTCGCGAAGAGTCGTGGCAGAGACATGCGGCTGCACCGCCCAGAATTATGGCGGCATCGTTGAGAGTTGTGGCTGCACTTGCGATAATTGCGGCTCCACCTCCATCTCCATCGCGGATAATTGTGGCTGTGTCGCGGTGAGCTCGTTCGCCGCCGGTGGCACGCCGTATGGGCCTTGCGCTTGCATGTCGTCGCTCGTCCTTGCCATCAATTGCTGCTGTATCGCCAGAGGATTAGGTGGCTGGGAGCCGCGCGCCATTTGCCGGTACGACTCCAGCCGTCGCCGCAGCACCTCAAGCTCGACGGCGGTGTCCATGAGCTGGTTCTCCAGGTCTTCGATTACTCCGCAGCAGCCGCGCACGGGGTCCGCCGCGCGTAGGTTGGACTCGTAGACGATGGTCTGCACGCACACGTCCCGTCTCGGCGGCGGAACCTTCCAGAGCATGCGCTGCAAGTTCTTGACGCCGAACATCCGGAGCGCGTTCCGGAACTTGTCGGGCTCATCGGCGACGAAGTAGTGCTTCAGGAGGCAGTGCGGCGGGCACTTGCGCCGCTGGTGCCTGCACGCGGCGCAGGACGGCGGCTGTGGCGAAGGCGCCGACGTGCCTCTGCTGTCAGATGACGGCGCCGCGTGTGGGGGCGAGGACGAGGGCGCGCTGCTGCTGGTGGGGACCAGGGCCGGGGGCGAGGACGAGGACGGATCCGAGGAATACGACGGTGAGGCGGATCCTGACGATGTCGCGCCGCCAGATGACGAAGACCACGTCGGCGCCCCTTGCGCCGCCGGTGGTGTTGGCATGCTGCTCCGCGACTCGCAGCAAGCCCACGCAGGATGCTGCCCGCTCAAACGCCCGAGTCCTCAAGCCACCACGCCCGCTGGCCGCCGGCCGCTGCCGCCGCGGCTGCGCCCGCGCCCAACGACCTCCGCGGCGCCGATCGATCGGACGGCAGTCGGTCGCTGCCAAACTTCTCCTGTGCATCCGTAACTCGTAAGTGGGTTGGATTTTATTTATGGGCTGAATTATCCATCCGTTGTATTTACGACTATTTCTGTAGGTCTGGTAAGGCTTCAGTTCTGATTCTGATCGACAACATTTTTTTGATGAAACGATCAACACAGCATTTGGTGGATCGGGGTCACATTTTTCTTTAGGCCAGCACACCATAAGGGTATGTTCGTTTGATCGAATCAGGGGCGATTGGGAGGATTGAGGAGGATCAAGGGTGTTTGATCCTCGGGACTAATCTGTCCTCGTCACATTGGATGTTTAATACGAATTAGCAGTATTAAATATAGACTAATTATAAAACTAATTGCATAAACCGTGACTAATTCATGAGACGAATCTATTAAGCCTAATTAGTCCATAATTAGTGAATGTGATGCTAAAGTAAATATGCTAATCATGGGTTAATTAGGCTTGATAAATTTTTCTCGCGAATTAGTCACAGCATATGCAATTAACTTTATAATTAGCTCATATTTATTTCTTCCTAATTGACATCCAAATATTCGCCAGACTAAACTTTAGCTAGTGGATCTAAACACCCCTAAATCCCAACAAATCAAAATCCCCCTCAAACCTCTCCAATCCCCCCTCCCTTTGATCTTGAGGAGAACCGAGCAAGGCCTAAAAGAAAGATCCCTTACAGTCTTACACCAGTTTTTATAGAACTTTAAAAGGTCATAGTTCCAATCACAAGCCGAACATCCAAAATAAATTTCAATTTCACCAAAAAACCTAAAAGATAAAACCTTTCCTTTTAACAAACATGGATATACTCTACATTGGTATATTTAAAAAAATTATTAACAAACATTTATCTTATGAAGATATAATTTTTTTCTTTTACTTAGCCGATGCGATGTTATAGATTCAGAAAATAATGTTCCGTCTTTATAAGAAAAAATATTCTTAGTTTAGGAGAACAACATTCAAGATTTAGAAGAACAAATTATATGTTTATGCAATTGATATTTTATTATCCCTAAAAGTAAAAAAATAACAAAATCTATAGAATGTATGAAATAGAAAGATAACATAACATCACATAAATAGAAAAATAATAAAAGATAGAACAAAGCATAGGGGAAAACAAAAATAGAATGCCACATAATATAGAAAAAATAAAGGAACATCATATGGATAATTTTTAAAGAACCTAAAATATATTATAGAACATCAGAAATGCACAAATTATTTAAAGCCAAATGTTTTGATATATGATATAACCCACACAACTGCAAAAGACATAACAAATTCACAAATTATTTTTATAGTTAAGTAAAGCCAATGTCTTGGTATGTAATGTATCCCATCTTGACGGTGAAATGTTAAAAAAGGATTGTACATCTACTATGTTCACGTGGTATGTTTTTTTTGTGCCCGTTCGCCCGTCGTTCTTTTTTATGTTTGTTTCCAAAAATATTAAAAAAGAATAAAAGCAATTAGTATGAATTTTTTTTAACTCTTGATCCTTTCCAACAAATTAAAGACTTCCACCGCCAATTATTTATGTAATTTTCAGATTGAAAGGTTTATTCTGTTCCGCTTTTTACTTTCCAAACTGCCCTAGCGACACATCGGGAGGATCGAACGTGCTCGTTGACTCCATGACCAATGTCGTCGGTCAACATTGCCTTCTCACGAGGCCGGCAAGTTTATCTACTAACCACTTCGCCGAAGCACGGCTCGACCTCGATGGCTTGGCTACGTTCGAGACGCATGGCAGGCCCATGCTCACCAATGTCGTCATGTCCCAGTTGAATAGTTATGTGTTTCACCTGGCCGCTTCCAAAACAATGCAAGACGTTGGTGTCTGCATCGGCGCAAAAACAAAAAGGAACAACACTACTCGATCGCTCTCGACGACCTTTGTGTGTTTCGCCATCATCTCTGAGTAGTACATGACGGTGCCTCCTTCACCATGCCTATAGTAAGAACACCTAGCCAGTTCCGTGCGACCTCTTCAATAACCAGAAACATGCTCAAATTTTACATATGCACCATGTTCGCTTGTTTGTTTCAGCCAGAGTTTATCAGCCAGCCAATAGTATTTTCCTCTCACAACAAATCAGCATCAGCCGAGCTTATCAGCCCAAAAATCAACCAGCGAACAGATTGATGAGCTCCGTGACGAATCTAAAACTATGCACATTTGGAGGGAATGAGATAAGAACTAGGAACATAGGGAAAAGATTCTCTCATTGCTTCGAATGTTGCCGCCTACCGTCGTACATTCCGTATCCTATACCCCACGTATGAGTGGGATTCATGGTTGCACTCGTAAGAAAGCTAGTAAAGGACGTACCCAGTGCAGAGAGCTCCCACTCTGTATGGAGTGTAGAGAAGGGGCTCCAAAGAAAGCTAGTATATTGAAAATTTTGACATCTCAATTCGTATGCCGTATAAAAAATGTTTAACGCTCAGTGCAAATGGTACATGAAGGTACAGTACCACAAACATAAACAGTTGCGATTTGCCACCTCAGCGTCCTCGATAATGTTTTAGAGTACTTCGGACCTGTGATCTTATTCCACTCCGGAAGGTACATTTGGCTAGAGTATACGTGGTTGGACTGGACACCACTCAAAATGGTATATTGGTACCCTGCTGGTTCGTGAGAGATTCAGAGTTTCAGACTCAGGGTAGCACACATGTATCCTGAGAAATGCATGATCAGATAGAATCTGCCTCTTCTGTTGCGTCTACACACACAAACGTCACCTTGAACTTGACAATAATATAGGAGTTCATTCATGTGCCTCATGCTTCCGAAAACATTAACATAAAAAACAAGAAAAAGGAATAATTTTACAGATATATATAGGAGTATATGTTTAGAGCCTGATCCAGTAAGCACCTAACGACTTTTGTGTATTTCGATCGATTTGAAGCAAACCAAAACCATATGCATGCCCCCATCCTATGAATAACCAACGACGACGTTATTTCCTTTCAGGCACGTTGCTCTGCTCGTAGTCGTAGCTCAGACGCTGGCTGGCCCCACAAGCAGTCTCCGATTCAGCGTGGTTTACGTGACGAGGATGAGGCCCTCGGTGATGAGGGAGTCGGCGAGGACCTGGTTGGCCGCCTCGGACGGGTGGACGGCGTCCCAGAACACGTAGGACGTGGCGTTGGGGCACGTCCCGATCGACTTGGGGTTGCAGAGGAGCACCGTGGTCTCGACCGTGCCCGTCCCGCAGCAGCCCCGCCTGGCCTCCGTGAACCCCTGCGCCTGCGGGTCGGTGGCCAGGTCGTAGAGCGGCGTGTAGATGTCGAACACGGCGATCTTCAGGTCCGGGTACCGCCGCGACAGCGCGTCCACGGTGGCGTTCATCTTCCGGTTGAAGCTCTGCGAGTCCCTGTTGAGCCTCGACACGCACCCGTTGCTGCCGTGTCCGAACAGCGTGATCGACGCCGGCAGGCACCCCAGCGGCGGCAGCGACGTCACGCCGATGCGCCGTGCTCCCATGCCGTACAGTTGCTGCATATGTACAGGCGTAGCAGCAGTCAGTTCAAGAGGATCGTCTCGTCGATCGGAGCATGCAGCAGGTTGGCGACGACGAGGAGATGTAGGTAGCAGCTAGCGAGGTGGTTTGCTCACCGACACGGTGTTGTGGAAGATGCCGATGAGGCGGTCGGAGAACTGGTCGGCGGTCTGCGTCTTGTAGAGGAAGGGGTTGATGTAGTAGTTCTGCACGAAGTCGCTCGCGCCGGCGCTGATGATGTAGAGAGCGCCGGTGATGATGGAGTGGGCCTGCCCGGCGCCGGCCACCGCCGCCAGCTTCGACTGGTACTCCTTGAAGTACTCCAGCTGCTGGGACAGCGGGATCGCGTGCTGTGTGTTTGTCAAGTTAATACCAGGTCGTTAGAGATCATGTACACCCACATTTATGCAAGATCTGCTCGCTAATCAAGTAGTGGTGGTACCACAAAAGGTATGTATTTAGCAACGAGATGGCGATAGATATCTGCATGATTTATGATGATCAGTGGTTTCATGATTTGAGAGGCTTGTTGGAGCATCTATCATGACATATGCACGCACTAGATGTTCAGTTCAGAGTTTATTTCTCTGTACCAAGATTTTGACCTACTCCTTGGAGTTGGAGAGGTCACTGATGAGTGATGATGATACTTACATACATCAGTGCCGTGTGGTCGTAGTACCCAGATCCCGCGGACGCGAAGTTGGCACCGATCAGGAGGTTCTGCCCTGACGCCTGTGGGCTGAGGTACGCCGCAGGGTAGGTAGTGAACCCCAACGTGTCAGCTGCAACCGTGCACCACAGACGAAGTTGTGATCAGTTGTAACGCACAAGATCTCAATTCGTCGAACAGAGTGCACCCTACGTACCAGTGATGTCGGTCGCCAGCTTGCCGTTGCAGAACCTCCCGGTGGCGACGTGGTTGGCGAAGTCCCGGCCGTAGGGCGGGAAGTTGGCCTTGATGATGGTGTGGAGGTAGTCGTTGTTCCCGACGTCCACCGTCGAGTCGCCGAACGTCATCACCGCCGGCACCAGCGGCTGCGCCTCGCTGCCGCGGGTTCCCAGTCCCACCGCCAGGAGGAAGACCGCCAGGACCATCGACGACACCCGCCTCCCCTGCGCCTGCGGAGCCATCATCTGAGCTCCGATCGAGCGAGACGACGAGTGCTCTCAGCTCTGCTCTGAAACACTCCGACCACACGCAGCGCAGCGCACGTCGTGCCCTGGTGTAATGCAACCGGCCGTGTCTTGTGTGAGCTTTATATAAGTGACGACCAAGCTGTGCTGACAGGCACCCCGGTGGGCTGGCCTTAATCAGCAGGGCCCAGCTGTCTGTCACTCGGTGTCAGAGCACTCTTTCTTCCAGAACACTGGGCTGAGCCGCTGAGCAGGGCGGCACGCACTGTGCAGCGGCCCGCTGCCGCGTGCGGCATGATGACGCCGTGTCGAAACGGGACGTGCTCATGGCGAACCGCCGAGCCGAGTCCATGCTGCCCTGCCCTACACTGCATCCCCGCCATCGATTCGATTCTCCCATCTGCAATGGCGACTATTTATTAGCGGTGGTTGAGACGACGGTTCTGTTGTTTCTCTTATAATTCGTCTTTTTCAGCTTATTTTTTTAGCTGGAACAGTGTTTTTTTCTCACGACCAATCAGTCAGAACAATGTTTCAGCTTGTTTTTGAACGGAGCCGACGACGGCACGAGCACAACGCTGCTGCGGCCTGCGGCTGACGCTGTGACGAACTGACGACGCAGGCACGCCGCTCCGGTCCAGCTCCAGAAAATGTTCAGGAACAGGATGAGGATTGAGGAGCACCAACAGCTACCAGGCAACCACTGGGTGAGTTATTGCACATGTTGTAGGCAACACGGGCATGTGATTCTGCAGATGAGGCTGTAGCTCGTGCACTGGGTTCAGTCCAACCGGGAAATGGCCTGCAGGAGCACCCCGGTGGGCAGTGGTCCTGTGGTGAAGAAGAAGCAAGTGCAAAGGATCGGAGCTAACAACTGGAATGAAGAATAGATTTGCAGAAGTACAGGGTTCCAGCTTGGAAGGCTTTATCACCATTGAATCTGAAACGCCCCAATGCTACCCACTGTGACTTCCTTCAATGCCTGCCAGCGATCAGACATATCTCTTGACCAAGATCATATATACCACTACGGAGTAGTACTGAACAAGAAGATGTCAGATTGAATGCGCCATGTGTTACCGATGGATGCGTCAACCATCAATCCAGCGACCCAAGTTTCTAGTAGTAGGGCCTTGATTAGATCCATCAAAATTCTAAGTTTTTTCACTCTGTCTTCATCACATCAATTTTTGGACACATGCATGGAGTATTAAATGTAGGTAAAAAAAGTAATTAATTACACAGTTTGGTTATAAATCACGAGACGAATCTTTTAAGCCTAGTTAGTCCATGATCGGATAAAGTTTGTCAAATACAAACAAAACGTGCTACAGTATCCGGATTGTAAAAATTTGCAATCTAAACAAGGCCTAGTTCAGATACTGAGAATCTGCTCTGTTTCCAAATGATGAATGCAGTGGTCTTGTACAGTGCATACTATTACTATTCTAACTTTCTAATTCATGGATGCACCAAGAGCTTTCATAGAAACAGCTAACAACATGGCCCGTTTTCCTCGAAGCTACGATGAGCCTATACCGTTACACCAAACAAGAACAAGGAGCATGCCTGATTTTGACATATACCTGTATTTTTGTAGATGCCATGGCTTTAAATGGCTGCCCTCCTCCACTGTAAGCTTGTTTGTTTCAGCTTATTTGTTCGTATCTGGCTTATAATTCACGGTTTAAATATTATTTTTCTCTCACACCAAACCAGCCAGCAGTACTTTCAGCCATGGCCAATTCAGCCGAAACGAACAGGCTAATATATATGATACTAGCTGGCAATATATGTGCTCATCACATTACTTCTGAAGTTCTCTGGGCGATAGGACGCCGAATTTATCAGATGTGCTGTAATTAACATCAAAGTACTACGGAGACATCAACGACTTGCATTGGTTCATCCGTTCCATCTGTATCAAATAAAAACCATGGATGTACCAACACTAGGCTTCAAGATGTACTATAACCTATTATAGAGAAGAAAAGCTCAAAACTTCTGTGTAAAATTAGGCAAACTGGTATAAACATGACAGAATAAAGCTAGTGAAGACTGAGGACAACAAGATCAGGTGAAATTTATACATATATAAACGTTTTGTTTCACTTATTTTCAACATTAAAAACTCTACCCAAGTTGGTTGTTCCTGTCAGGTCATTAAAAAAACATGTAGCTTAGTTTAATGATCAATGAACGACAGGAGTTAACGGTGACAGCTATTTTTTTGGAAACGAACTTCAGCTGATGTAAATGAAAGAAATGGAACACGTACAACTATGAGAAGCAAGGTAGAGCTGAGTTAGTAAGAGCACCTCTAGGAGTTACCCTAAACTTAATTTCCCTAAATCCTCATGTAGGGTACATTCTAACAAAAAAATCCCCTCTAAATATTTCTCTTCTCTAATAGTTACCCTATCTCAAATCAAATAATATATAGGGTGGACAACATGACATCTCAAATTTGAGAGGGGCCTGGTGCAAGCGGTAGAGTCTTGCTGCCTGTGACCGGAAGGTCCCGGGTTCGAGTCGCGGTCTCCTCGCATTGCACAGACGAGGGTAAGGCTTGCCACTGACACCCTTTCCCAGACCCCGCACAGAGCGGGAGCTCTCTGCACTGGGTACGCCCTTTTTTTTACTGGAAATTTAGTATGACACTAAATATAGGATGTTGAATAGGGGGACTGTTATAGAGTGCCTTTGTTACATAAATCTTAATTTTAGCTCTAGGGGATGAATAGGGGAACTCTTGGATGCTCTGAGGGCATGTTTGGTTAAAAGCTAGCCTGGAGGATTTGCATGGCTAAAGGTATTACCTGAGAGTTGCCAATAAAATTGATAGACTTTTAACTGGTTAGGCGAGTTGAATGAATTTATGTTTGGTTGGAAGACTATGTCTGAGAATACTAACAAAAGAAAAGAAACACTTCTTAATCTCTGTATATAACACTATCCATATTTAGAAGGGCTGGCCTGCTGTAGTGGTGAGAGCTGTCTCACTGAGTCACCAGGTCGTGGGTTCGAAGCAGATTTTGTGGGGAGAAGGCTTGCCTCGGTTTTTCCCTTCCCCAGATCTCACTCATGTGGGAGCCTCCGGCACTGGGTCTGCCCTTTTTACACTATCCATATTTATAGTAAAGTTATTAAGTTCCTCTTGAGGGAAAAAATATTCTAATAATAAATGTTTAATTAGGGTACTAATTGGTTTAGTCAACTACAATGCAGCGGTGCTCCAACCACTAAAGAAAAATAATATAATAGAATAAAAAAGGAATAATGAGAACTTAAGAAAATAAGAAAAGAGAGGATAATCATATGAGTTCAGAACTGAGACAGGTAAAAGCTAAGGTAACAGGCAAGACAGGTTTACGCATACAGACGGGTAACTGAATCAACTGTTCAAATCATCTCACGTGGAACAATGAATATGAAAAGGGACATACATGACAATGTTTAATTAGCAGAAAAAATAGTTGGATGTCACATCGGCATATTCATATTTCTACAACAAGACAACCTTCTTAATTTCTTTTAAAACAGCGCAATACAGTTCAGTACATTGAACAGAAAAGAAGGGGAAAACAGGAAAGATCATTCATCATAGACTGAGTTATGAAACAGTTGTGCAGGTTTCATCATAATTGGCATTTATTCATAACAAGACGAGTTAAACTCTCACAGGACCCATTAACTCTTAAATACGAAGAACAGAACATTTGTGCAAACAGCGATAGTGCAGCTACCATCATGAAACATACAAGAATGGAGACATCCTTTCCTTATAAAACAATGAGTCAACATGAAGAGCATTCAACTGCCACAATCATTATTAAAAGATACCCCTCCAGAATAAATTGCTCTACTAATTAAAGCATCCAAGTGCTTACGGTCTTCTAATGCCCAAGCTTTTTCCAATGCAGAAACAGGCCCCCTCTTGTTCCTCTTGTTGCAGTCAGCAGTATTGCTTGAGGAAGGAGCAATAGGCAAAGAAACAGTTCTTGACTTGGATCTTTCCACCAGATTCTTGCACCTTTCAATTTCCTTTCTCATTTCACTAAGCATCTCATATGTAACATTAGGACATTTACCTATTCCCTTTCCTCCCTTCTGCAGCAAATGAGCTTCAACTCTAGTGTAACTATTCAGTTTTTGCATTGGACAGTACTTGCAGTGCCACATAGCATTTCCTCCACCAGTTCTAGGCTTCTCCAGAATGGTTACATGATCCCAAAGTGGAGCCTTGATGTCAGTTGTGTTTGTGGCTGCAGATCCTACACTAGCACTTGTTCCAGCACTGCTCATATTTGGAGACGCCATCTACTCTCTACTAGTCTACTGCAAACAAGCAAAGCAACAAGAACTGCACTTCATCAATACGAAGTTACAAACTGCACTTCATCCCTCCCCTTGCTTCTGCAGGCCTGCAGCGCACCCCCTCCTCCGCACGGATCCTCTCCATCAGTCCGTCCTCACCTCTTCTTCCTCTCTCTCTGCAGGTCTGCGAGGTAGTGCCGGCGACGAGGCCTCTCCAAGACTCCAATCCCTCCGGCGAGCTCCCCTTCCAAAGTGGTGAGGTAAGCCTGCCCCCGTTCCTTACCTCTCCTGTAGACTCCAGACTCTGAACCATGTCGGTGTTGTCTCTAGTATTGATGAAGTATTGAAGTGCAGTTCGTATTGATGAAGTATTAGTCTGTACTCTGTTACTACTCCTGTCTCTCCTGTAGACTCCAGACTCTGAATGCTTGTATGCAGTATTAGTCTGTACTCTGTTACTACTCATGTTAGTGAAATTGCTAGTGTATGGCTGTATGCAGTTCGTATTGATGAAGTTAGTCTTATTGATGAAGTGCAGTTTGTAACTTCGTATTGATGAAGTGCAGTTCTTGTTGCTTTGCTTGTTTGCAGTAGACTAGTAGAGAGTAGATGGCGTCTCCAAATATGAGCAGTGCTGGAACAAGTGCTAGTGTAGGATCTGCAGCCACAAACACAACTGACATCAAGGCTCCACTTTGGGATCATGTAACCATTCTGGAGAAGCCTAGAACTGGTGGAGGAAATGCTATGTGGCACTGCAAGTACTGTCCAATGCAAAAACTGAGTAGTTACACTAGAGTTGAAGCTCATTTGCTGCAGAAGGGAGGAAAGGGAATAGGTAAATGTCCTAATGTTACATATGAAATGCTTAGTGAAATGAGGAAGGAAATTGAAAGGTGCAAGAATCTGGTGGAAAGATCCAAGTCAAGAACTGTTTCTTTGCCTATTGCTCCTTCCTCAAGCAATACTGCTGACTGCAACAAGAGGAACAAGAGGGGGCCTGTTTCTGCATTGGAAAAAGCTTGGGCATTAGAAGACCGTAAGCACTTGGATGCTTTAATTAGTAGAGCAATTTATTCTGGAGAGGAGGGGGTGCTGTACTGCTGTGGACGGCGCAGACCCGAGCCACCGGATCCACGAATCGCGCAGACCCGGGCCGACAAGGATCCGGCCGTGGGAGGAGGCAATGCGCCTAGACTCACCTGGAACGGAGGTAGCGCGCCGGAGAGGAACGGTTTTCGCCGGAGGAAGCGGTGAGGCTGGTGGCGCCTGGAGGCGGAGGCAGAGGCTCGTCGCCGGTGGCTGGTGGCCGGCGAGCGGGATTGCGGCGCGACGCGCGGGCGCAGCCGTGAGGTTGTCTCCGTGCGGGACTGCGACTGCGGGAATGCGACTGCGGGTGTGCGGGACTGAGGTTGTCTCCGTGGAGTCCGTGGGCTTTTGGGCTGGGCCGTATCGAGACGCACGATACGTGTCCGGTGGAGTATCCGATTTCAACGAAAATAATACAAAATCGGATACTCGGAGGATACGTATCCTAGGCGTATCGGACACGTATCCGTATCCAATACGTATCAGATACGCGATACGCGGCTTCAGTGAAGTATCCGTGTAACATAGAGATTACCTGACCATATAAGGTTCAGTAAACTCGGAAAGCCTACACAGAAACTATATAAAGTGCATAACATAAGCTAGCTTGCTCATCCGGTTACTTCAAATTATGCACGCATAAGAGAAAAATTGGACTATCCTATACCGGATATTTGCCATAATGAAGATTAAACACAAAGGGTGTTTCACTGGGTAGCTTAAGGCTGCAATCCTGGGATCTGAAAACTACAGCAGTCAGCAGACAACAGAGAGCCTTCCACTGTTCTCTGCAAGGTAGGTTCCACTACTCATCCACTGTTACTAACTGCTCAACAAATACGTAACTGACTAACTAATGAAACAACTCATCCATCAATAATTAAATTCTGCGATTCTTAATGCAGGATAGGATAATTTTGACAACTAATGAAACAAAGCATCTGATGCTGCATCTATAACTAAAGTAGAAGTGAGCAAATCCTTCACTGTCAATAGGATCATCATCATCATCCAAAAAGACACGTACCATCAGCAAATGGTCCAACATATATGCTACCTGTCAAGCAAACCAATGGCCACGTTTCGCACATGCTTTACGGCAGGTTCAGGCCTTCAGCCGCTGGCCCTCTGCGACCTCCTCTCATGCTGCGCCCATGGGAAGAACGGCACCGCCATGAGGCCAGTCACCTCCCAAGGCTTCTCACCACCTTCCTCCTGTGCACCAGCGTCACCATCGCCTCCGTTCGTCATCCCACCATTGTAATTGAACTCCGCACCATCAAGCGCAGACGCGCGTAGCATAACCTCCCCGTCACAAGCTCTCGCCTTGGGGTCACCATTGCCCACCACTGCCGACGGCTTAGCCGCGCCGTCCTCACTCTCCACTTCACCATCCGAATCGGTCGTCTTGGACTTGGACAAGGCGACGCCTCGCCCGCAGCCCGGCGGGTACCTCCTGACGGCCGAGACGCGGGGAACGCTCACCGCTGCCGCGGCCTTCCTTCCGTTCCCCACGCCACGATTGGGCGCCTGGGACCCGAAGGAGGCGGTTGCTGGGAGGGTTCGTCTTGCCGGTGGTGGGGCGGTATTGGTGGCCGCGCGCGCGGAGGGGTTCGGGAGTGTGGGTTTAGTTTCGGCGGCGGCGGCGGCGGTGGTTGGAAGTCGGTGGTACGGCGGAGGCCCCGCCGCCACGTTGTGGGGGCGGCCGCAGCCCGGCGGGAAGCGGCGGACTGCGGAGGGCCTGCGGTTGCTGGCGAGCATCACGAGGGTGAGTGTGGAGCGGCCGTCAGGCGTGCAGCGTGCTCAGGCGAAGATTGCAGGAGAAGGATTTCATTGGGGTCCACCAGTTGTCTTTGTTCCTATTCTTTCCCCCAACTTCAGTCCGGGCTTGTTAGCCAGCCAACGGTGTTTTTCTCTCACAATAAATCAACACTAGTCGGGCTTATCAATCCAGAAACCAACCAGCGAACAGGCCAAAAAGACGATATTTCTGCCGAATCTCATGCTATAAGTACATTCAGTTCTTATTAATAAAAATATTCTTTCCATTCAAAATTACAGTTCACTTTAGATTTATTCTAAGTTCAAGTTTTTTTGACTTTCATGAAAAAGTTTTTTTAATAAAAAAATATATTATACCATCTACAACTTCAAATAAGTACACTCTCAAGAGATTGCATGGTGAGTTGATGAAACTAATTGGGTGGTATAGATGTTGATATTTTTATAAAAATTTGGTTAAAATTAGAGAAACTCAACTTATGATAAAACTAGTGTTGCAAATACTGGGTTATAGCGCATCTATGGACTGGGTGTCGCTGAAAATACTACATATATTACCGCTATGAGGGCTATTTCGAACATTAGCAATGCTAAAACTTTAGCGGTGACTTAACTTAGTGGTTAAATATGCAATCAACCGACCTACCAAGTAATGAGACCCAACCAAATTTCTGTTCGTCCAAATGTAGCCTATTTATACATGGTGTATAGGTATGCTCATGAAACCTAGCATCTCCGGTTCTCCCCTCTATGTTCTACAAGGCCATGCTTTGAGATCTGAACCTTTTTGTGCCAGCGTGATGATGGTGTGCATAGAGGCAATGATGGTCGTGAACTACGGCCCTGTTTGTTTCGCTGAAATTTAACTTATGCTGATTTGTTGTAAGAAAAAAAACACTGTTGGTTCGCTGAAAAATATTACTTCAAGCGAACAGGGTCTACGAACAATGACTACAAGGTGCCGAGAGTGACTTCAAGAGGCGGCTGACCACAGGGGTCGCGGCCATGGCTGTCCCCTATGCGTATGTGCAGCAGCCGCACTGCTAAACGGTAGTACAAGCAATCCAGCAATATTGTCCATTATTATGCATGTCCACAAATGAATCGGTCATCCATCTTTTCGCCCATTGCAGCTAATCAAAGCAAATATGGGAAGCAGTACGATCTTGGACACATGGAAAATTTCCTAGCTGTGAAGGATGAAACAACATAGACTCTGTGGTCCAGTGGTGGCGTACGGTTGGGACGTCAACAGCTTTTCCATGTAAGGCAGTAAGATCGATGACGCTTCTTGTCACATGGGAGCTTTGGAGAGAGTGAAATGCAAGGATTTTTGAGCATCAATATAAATCGCCGACAGTGTTAATTGCAAAGATCAAGGAAGATGCTCGACTATGGTGTAGTGCGGGAGCCAAACGATTACCAGAAATTTTGCCTATGCATTAGGCCGTTTACCTCTTTTATCTTGAGGGCCTAAATCTCTCATTTGGGCCTATTGGTTTGTTATTTTGGACTTTTCACTTGTACTGTTTCCTGTTATCTATCAATATATTTGCTTGGCATAATCCTGCCAGCAATATTCGAAAAAAAAAAATCCGGCACTGAAACAAAAAGGAAGAATACGACAGTCAGCAACAAAGACAGATGCAATTCAGTAATGCCAAGCAATAATATGCATCTTTTTTGAGAAAACGCTAAATGCCCTAGCTCCGCTATAAAGGTCATTATAGCTTGCTAGCATATTTATGAAGGCTCCACTAAATACCTTAGCCTTCTATTAGACAATAATTTAGAAAAAGTGAGTATGCTAACTTTTATTTTAAAAAAGTGGAGTCGGCAACACAATGCAATACAAAGAAGATTTCTTTAATTTTTTATTGTAGCATGTATCTGAGAGCGGAAAACATGTAGTACTAGACTACTAGTGTACTGATCCCATCTATGCTATGATGGCCGAGAGCATGCCATCTTGGGCGCGCAAGGAAATTGACTCTATATGTAGAAAATCTCTCTGGGCAGGCCGGGATGATTCAGTTAGAGGAAAAATGTACGGTAGCATGGCCTTCTGTCTGCAGACCAACCAATCTGGGCGGCCTAGGTATCAGTGATCTCAGATTAACCGGCTTTGCCTTTCAAACCCGGTGGCTTTGGTTACAGAAGGTCGACCATGACCGGGCTTGGAGCCAGCTGCCGATAAGCACCGCACCAGAGGTACAAGCATTCTTCAGGGCGTCCACTTTCACAGCCATCGGCGACTGCCGGCAAGCACTGTTTTGGGAAGATAGATGGCTGAATGGTGACTGCATCTATGACATTGCCCTATATCTCGCGCAACTAGTCTCACTAAGAATCAGACAAAGACAAACAATCAGAGAGGGATTGACAGACAACAACTGGGTGCAAAGCATAACAGGGGCGCGAACTACTACGGCCATTGCCGAGTACATAGAAGTGCGGAACATGATGACCAATGTTCAGCTCAGTGAGCAACCAGACAAGACAATTTGGCGATGGACACCTGATGGCCGCTACTCTACCAAATCTGCCTACACCATGCTGCACGCCGGGGCAACCAAGTTCGAGGGTCACCAACTAATCTGGAAAACCTGGGCGCCATTAAGGGTTAAGATCTTCATGTGGCTGGCATTCCGTCGCCGGCATTGGACAGCGGATCGCCGGAGAAGACACGGCTTGGACGCGCGAGACAATTGTTTCCTCTGTGATCAAGAGCAAGAGACAGTAGACCATATCGCTGCATCCTGTGCTTTCACCAGGGAGCTTTGGCACCTCATGTTCAGGCTCTGGGAAATCAGACCCCGCAACCACAGCCAACAATCAGACGCCGGTGGCGACAGCTACGCGCACTTTGGACCGGCCAACAGCGAGCAGGTCTTGACAGCTTGTTCAATCTGATCTCATGGCAGGTCTGGAAAGAACGAAACGCCCGCTGCTTCAGGAGCTCGCCATCCACTATGAACGAGATGATCCAGATAATCAGAGCTGAAGCCGATCGGTGGATCGAGGCCGGCGCGGTAGGCTTGGCTGCGCTTGCAGGTCGTTAGCTTAGGCAGCCGATGTCCATCTTGGTTTGTTTCCGGTCACAATGTAGCGCTCTTCAGTCACTGTGGCGGCTAGACCGCTTGTAAATTATAAACTTTCTTGTTAATGCAATGATACGTAACACTCTTGCGTATTCCAGAAAAAAAACTAGTGTACTGATCAACTGAATTATTACCTAAGTACTACCAAAACTAGGCAGTGTCACAACCTCACAGTCTATATATTTTGGACTCTTGGCCCAAACACGCTGCGTGGATGAGACCAAAGTAACATCCAGGCCTGCTCGATTCGAGGCCCAGTCGAATTTCTACGTCCAAAACAGGTCCGGAGTCCGGACTGCGTTTACGTTTCGCCCCGTCTTTTTTACTCGGCTCACCACGCCTGCAGCCTGCTCTCTCTCACTCTCGGGTCTCGGCGATGGATGGGCGACCGCCGCCGCCGTACTACGCCAGGTCTTCCGCGCTTCCCGAGGCCTACGGCAGGCCCTTCGCCGGCGAAGAACACCCATCAGGTACGCTCGCCCCTTCTCTTCCCGTCCTGATGCGCGAAACCGAGCAGCCAAACCCTAACTACCCTAAGCTATTTGTCTGTTATACTCTGTTTGTATTCGGATCTGATCTGATTACAAGTGCGTATACATGTATACGTATTATTATGCCTACTAACTTCGATTTTATTTTTGCAAAAAACATCGGGTGTGTATTTGTAAACCCATGCCCTTTACTCGGTCCGCCCAGAAACTTCGTAGAACAAATTCAATTCTGCTGTAGCTAGTGCCCAGAAGAGTCTATGATTTACATTTGCAAGAGTACTGTGGACGACCGATTTTCCTCATGTGTAGTGTAAGACTTTTTTCACATGATGGAACTATAACTCCCAGCCTCTACACCAATGAGACATTAATTTGTTAGCCGTTGGATATTTTGTTTCTAGATATTTGACATGATGACCGAGTGAGTGACATTGGATATCTGATTGCTATATCTAGCTACTAAATAACTTTTATGAGTGATAAGTTCTGAGTAAATTATTAATTTAGTTATTTGTAAGACTACTTTTCAGGCAGAGTTATACACTGTGAAGATGAATATAGTACTCTGGTACAATTTCATGCCTTAATGAGACATTCTTCATGTTTTTTTTTTGTTTCTCTTCCTTTTTCCTTTTTTGTTCTTGAGTTTTGCAATGATGTTTGTTCTTGGATTAGAACTGATTGACATGTTTTTTGTTTTCACTGGCTAACTTCTTAACTTCGTTTGATTGGCAGATTCCCGAGTTGGTTATCCTAGTTATCTTGCACCCGAGGGCTCTGTAGCATCTTACTATACTTCAAGACCTTCTGTTCTACCGGGTGGACCAGACGTTCTTAGAAACGATGTAATACAACTCAGCTTTTGGAGGATTCAGAGGAAAGTAACCACCTTTATTTGACAAATGACTTAGTTTTGTTCTACAGGTAATGTTGCAACCAAGAGCGTATGGTTTCGATGGTCCAGCAGGAGTGATGAATCCTGCTTTGGCTGGCCTGACTGGACTACCTGTTGGAGCTATGGCACGAGGGTCTAGTGCTTTGGAAGACCCGTCTTTGGCTGTGCTGAGTGGACGTGCTCCAGCCAGGGCACTGGGACCTAGTCCTTTGAAAGAAGAACCGGATGTAGTAGGGAGAAGTTCTTCTCTAGGCACAGGTGCTAGTATTCCAGATGTTGAGCGCCACAGCTCACTTCCAAACTTTGATGGGCCCTCAGAAGATGAATCCAACATTCTTTTTGTTGATTGTCTTCCTACTGATTGCACAAGGAGAGAAGTAGCTCGTATCCTTCCCGCTTAGTATTGTTCTGCATCATATTTCCTCATCTTTGTAAGTTTCATTTTTTGCAAGCCTTGACTTTTGCTGGAAGATTTGTTCCGTGTTTTTCCTGGCTTCAAGGACATCAGAGTAGTGCACAAGGAGCCCAGACGTGTAAGTGCTTGCCTTTTCAATGCATCATCTCGTCTCACTTGGAAAAATGGTTTAATTCTTCTTTGCTAGAATGCTACTTGCCCATTCTCTTGCAAATCTGAGCATTTTCACATAATTCATATATTTGAACTTGGCTTATGTTAAAGATATGGTTTATATAGTGCTCATTTTGAAAGCAAAAGAGCCGCATTTATTAGATTAAGAGGGGTGTACAGATTATGAAGACAAAAACAATACACTGCACAAGCCACAAGGGGTCCTAAGATACAGATCTGAGTTTCTTAGCACCCATTTCTACCCACAGCCTGGCGATATCCTTGACTTGGCAAATGAGTTCTGTCACAACCTTTTCCATTTGTTGAAAGATTAGAGATCCTTAGATTGCTCTCTTTCCATATTATGTAGATGGTTGTCCTTATTACTTCATGTCCACTTGACATAGATCCATTTTGTCATGTCCATCAAATTTAGAGTGTTTTTACTTTCCAGTAGGTGGCCATTCTTAGAGAGTTGATTTCGTGCTTCATGTCCACTGAGGATACATCCATGACATTGTGAGTCCACCAAATTGGGGGTATTTCCTCTCGGTGTGGTTGTTTTCTAGAATTCTAGGAAGGGTGCTTGCATCTAGACTGCTACTGCATTCCAGACATCTAGGAGTAATGCAGTTAAGCAGAGATGATAAGCTGTGGCCAAGGATTGTATGCATGATGGGGAAAAAATATTTTTGGGCCCTGCCCTGGCTAGTAACCCATCAGCTGGCAATATCTTTCCTTGACTACTAACCAAGCAAAGAACATGCATTTCGAGGATGGGGGGTCCAAGACTCATATGGTCTTCATGAAATCTGCGGTGGTTTTTTGATGACATTGAGATCACTCACCATGTACTAAGTGAATGCTTATACACTGGAATAAATATTCTTTCCCTACATGGAAACAAAACAATTTTTTAATGAACATATATGGAACAAGAAAGTACTAGTGCAATATATTTATTGTATGTAAAACCCCTGTCAAGTTCGCTACTCTAATGTATTTCTTTCTAGGCCATTTCTTCAAATTCTTAGGTGCTGACGTTAACATCTGCTGCTCTTTGTGTAATCACAAAAGCACAGAGCCCTTATTTACTTTGGTGACTTATTACTGTATTAGCGGTGGTGAATTTTCTGGTGCCGTCTTTTAGTGTTATTTTGAGTCAACTTTATGCATGTTATTTTCGTGCTGCTTCTTGCAGAGTGGTGACAAGGCTTATGTTCTGTGCTTTGTGGAGTTTGAGAATGCAAAATGTGCACGCGTTCCTATGAAAGAGTTACAAGGTTCCAATTCTACTTCCTTTGGGCTTTGGTTTGTTCATGTTTTCATTTTTTCTGCATATTCTTGTAGTGGAGTGGAGGCATATTCTTTATTTGCACAATATAGTTTGAATATGAGCTTTCAGGGGTATGAAACATACATGCAGTTATCTTCATGTAATCCTTTGAGATCCTTGCTGTGCATGGATAGTTTTCTTTCCAGCAGTTAAGGGACAGTAACCCTACCTCTTTTAGCACGTCAAGTTTCAGATAAGTTTGCTGAGACTGAACTTCCACCTGACTGATCATTTTATTTTGCAGGATACTGCTTTGATGACCGGAAGCCTGACAGCCCTTGTCTTAAGATCCAATTCGCAAGGTTCCCTTTCACTTTGCCTGCCGCCCAGGATCATAGGAAGCGGTAGCAGTGTAGCCTGTGCAGTGGGCACCGTAGATGGTGTATGATCAGCCATTCAGCCTGTATGTAAAACTGTTTTAGTGAGCTGTTAAATGAAGATGCCTACTGTCAGGAGTCTCCTGTGACACCAACACATGGAATGAGAGGAATGTGCCTTTGTTTGGCCCCATTCGTGCCTTCTTTTCTATCATAGATTTTTGTTTTCGCTACCATCAAAATATGCTAGCGATAATTGGCATACATATTAACTGGTGGTGAGCACTGTACATGACGGCAGGTAAATGCCAAAAGCTTCAAGTATTCTGAGAAATGAGGATGACACCTTGTCGTGGATGCCGATCTGATCCCACCATCTCCACCAAGGTCCAGACTTCAGCTGTCACTCTTTTATGCAAGTATAAGCAAGTTGCTATCCAAGTCTTCAGCATCCGGCACAAAAGCCTTCGCCAGATGTCACGGTCACTCAGCTCCTCATCCGTGCGAATCTGAAGGCGGCGTGCGGACGACGGAGAGGTCAGCGGCGACCCCGTGTCGGCGAGGAGGACCTGCTTGTCCGGCGCATCCCGCCGTCGCCGTCACTCTGGACCGGAAACTCGCCGGAGTCTTGTGGTCCGGGGAGTGCCGGAAAATCTCGCCGCAGTTTCCAGGCTACTCGTATCCGTCGCCAAGTGCCAACGTGTTTGCCGTGGCCAGTCAGCAGTCTCCGGTGGCTTGGTGACGTTTTGCTTGTGAGGTCAGTCCGGCCCGGCCGTCCCTTTTGCTGGTTGCTGCTGGTAACCATGGTTACAGTTGCTGCCTATCCATCCACGGTTCAAGGGGCATTCCGATTTCGGCGCTTGCAGAAATGATAAGAGAGGGACGGCACCATACCACTTGCACTTGCACAGTTTGATGTTCCAGGGCACTAGTAGAGAATTAGAAAAGCAACATGTTGCCAATCATCAGTGCATGGGCTCTATTAACGCCGTGTTTAGTTTACCCCCAATATCCAAAAAGTTGCTACAGTACCTGTCACATCGAATGTTTTCGGTCCATGCATGGAGCATTAAATGTAGACGAAAAGAAAAACTAATTGCACAGTTTGGTGGGAAATTACGAGACGAACGTTTTGAGCCTAATTAGTCAATGTTTGAACACTATTTGCCAAATAAAAACGAACGTGCTACAGTAGCCCCCAAATCCAAATTTCGCGAACTAAACAAGGCTAAGTGTAGATACGGCGGCGGCGGCGGCGCCCTGGGCCGCCCAATCCGGGACTCCGGAGGTTGGAGATTGGAATGGTGCAGGCCTGTCATTGGCACGAAAGCTATCTGCTGCCGTCCATGCCAGGGCAGAGGGCACATAAGGTAGAGAGGTACCATCAGGCCTTCAGTCTTGCAAAAGTAGACAAGTAGTCATTTTCTCAGGACAGGTGCTACTCTCATAATTCCTCTCTCTTAAAAGATTAGCAGAGAAGGAGACAAAAACTCCATCTCTTAATGTTGCTCGGCTTATTAGGGACCCATTTAGTTCGTAGTATTTCTCAAAGCTAAAGCTCTTAAAAAATACAGCTTACAGAGAGTCGAGAAGGAGCTCCGAGCCCACAATCAGAGGTCAATGTTCACCCTGTACAAATGTACAATCCTTGTCCTTCTCGTTGGCTCATCAATTTTCACCAAAACCTTGTCTGGATTTCATTTCAGTCCTTTTGGGCATGGTTTTCAATGGCACTGACTCGATAGCACAAGTGCCGGACACCAATTATGTCGTGCTTTCAGATTTGCGAATAACGCAGAGAGGAGGAAAAGTAAGCACAAGTTCAGAAAAAGCAGAGCCTCAAAAGGAGAGGAGAGGAAGGCTATCTCCAAAGGAGATCTATTGCGGAACTTAAATTTAAAATGAATCTTCAATACAATATCTATAACTTTTACGGAGTATCTATATGAAAGACCTATTTTATATGTCAGGAGAGGCATAAACTAAATCTAAGTATCCTCTCTTCTGAAGATCTATTTACAGAAAAGATTATTTTTTAATCTTGAAAAAGATAAAAATAAATATTAAATTCTTTATCTTAAACGCTACCCAACGACGAATGAGTGTCCTAGTCGTGTTTGTTGGAGACAGTTAAGCGCTGCAGTGCTGCGCTGGGCCGAAGGTGCCAACCACTTCAGATTTCCGAAGGAGGCCACCAGCTTTGCACAAACAGCCCGTCCACTCCCCTCCTTTCCCCCGCGCGTCTGCTCCGTGCTCCGGCGAGGAATCCGGCGCCGGCGCCGGACTTCCGATGGCGACTCCACGGAAGCCAATCAAGCTCACGCTGCCGTCCCACGAGACCACCATCGGCAAATTCTTGTAGGCTTTCAGCTTTCAGCTTCCCCTTTGCTTTGTTTCTCGGCTCTTTTCTTGTTCTGCTGATTAATCGCCTGGCCTTGGTTATTGGGGCTCATCAACCTTTGGGTTCCGGGCAGGACGCACAGCGGGACGTTCAAGGACGGGGATCTGCGCGTCAACAAGGACGGCCTCCGCATCGTCTCGCAGAGTGAGGGAGGCGAGGTAAGCCGCCCCGCACCCAGGACTAAAAATCGCGTCTTGGCGTCATACGTCTGGAAATCGTAGGATGGGGATAGCTAAAATTGGCTCTTGTATTGGTTTCTCTTGAGAGCGCTGAGATATGAATGATTGCTTCGTCAGGTCAGGTAGAGATAGCCAGATAGGTGTTCTGAATTCACATTTTAATAAGCTCTGTTTGTTCGTGGAATTGGTACGCGTACGCGCGTACACCCTGTCTCCGGGAATCTGGACGTTGCTTAGTGATAATTACGTTGCATTTTTTTTTCCATATTTCTTCACGGTAATATAAAGCAGCTGGCAAGCATGGAGATATTTTTGGCAAAGTTTCTGCACTACTAGCTTTTTTCACTTCACAAAAGCTTCGTAACAGCATGTCTGCATATGCTGTCGTTTCCGTCCCCTAATTATCTAATCAAGATACTGATTTGGGGAAAACGATATGTAGCCTTGTGGCATTTTTACGACTTTTTCAATTTGATGACTGGACCGCCATCCATTGGTACTCTAATTAAGATACTAGTTTATGGAAAACGATATGTAGCTTTGTGGCTTCTTGACAACTTTTCCGAATTGATGAGTGAGACACAAATAAGGCACTAGCAATAAATATCTGTACGAGCTATGGCCTACTGGAATTATATATGTATCTGTTAGCTGAAATTGTTCTGAATGAGACTATTCACTTGCTTATAATGGAAAATGTTCTCATACCATTGTGGGTGTTTTACTCTCTATTTATCTGTTATAAAAATTTCTGACACTATTCCCACATTTTTTTCCTGACTTGTCCAAAATGTTCTTCAGGCTTCTCCTATAGAGCCACTGGATAGTCACCTGAGCTTAGATGATCTAGATGTTATAAAAGTGATTGGGAAAGGTAGCAGCGGAAATGTGCAATTGGTCCGCCACAAATTTACTGGCCAGTTTTTTGCTCTGAAGGTATTTCTGATGCAATCATTCTTTGATGCTGCTTATTTATGGTTCTTTACAGTTAAGAGTCTTAGTATGATCTCTGTATCGTATCTACTTTGTGTAATCGTCCTAACTGTTGTAAATGGTTTTTGCCTTGATCGGTCTGCCACTGTGTTTGCAGGTTATTCAACTAAATATTGATGAGAAAATACGCAAACAGATCGCCAAGGAGTTGAAAATAAACTTATCAACGCAGTGCCAATATGTTGTTGTGTTCTATCAGTGTTTCTATTTTAATGGCGTCATTTCTATTGTTTTGGAATACATGGATGTTGGCTCCCTTGCAGATTTCCTGAAGACTGTTAAAACGATTCCAGAGGCCTACCTTGCTGCTATCTGTAAGCAGGCCAGTGACATGTGGCAGAAGCTACAAATAGTCTTTCCACTAAAACTAAAATGCTACACTATCATTACATGAACCTTATAATTGAAATTGCACCTTTCTTGTGCAGATACTAAAAGGACTGATATACTTGCATAACGAGAAGCGCATTATACACCGAGATCTGAAACCATCAAATATATTGATAAATCATAGGGGTGAAGTAAAAATATCTGACTTTGGTGTAAGTGCCATTATTTCTAGCTCCTCTGGACAACGAGATACATTTATTGGCACACGCAACTACATGGCGGTTAGTGCAAGATTTACAGCTCACAGATGTGTCTTCCAGTTTGAAGTGAAATAAATTGTATTTTATTAGCTCTGATGGCCCAAAGCATTTTTTTCTGTTCTTGACAGCCAGAAAGAATCGATGGAAAGAAACATGGTTCTTTGAGTGATATCTGGAGTTTGGGACTAGTGATACTGGAATGTGCAACCGGCAACTTTCCATTTCCTCCTTGTGAAAGCTTTTATGAACTTCTCGTAGCTGTTGTTGATCAACCACCACCATCTGCACCAACGGATCAGTTTTCGCCAGAATTCTGTGCATTCATTTCTGCATGGTAATCTTACTGCTCTATACCAATGCTGCCTATAGACGCCCTTTTTTTTAAACAACTGGCAGGAGTTCTGGCTGGCCTATAGACACCCTTACCTGTGGTTAAGCTACTCGACATGTTAGCAATTATTTTGGCATTGGCAATTTTGATCTACTCCTATTTTAAAATGCCATCATAGGGGTGCTTGCATTTCTTGTTCATGGTTTTATTGCTCAAGTCAAAATGCCTGCTTTGTATATTACATATGCACAGAAAAGCATATAGAAGGTAATACCAAAAAAGTTTGGATCATATGTTTCCATCTATAATTGCTGTGTCTTGGTATACTCTATCTGCAGATTTGTCCAGCTATGTAATCTGTCCAGAGAAGGTTACTATCTGATCCATATGTTTTCATTGTGATTTTCAGTCTCCAGAAGGATGCTAATGATAGGTCATCAGCTCAAGCCTTATTGGTAAGCCAAAAAAAACAGCTTCACATCTTCATGTCATTTCAGAAATGGTCTGCAAGACTAAACCACTTATCTTACCCTTCTCTTCCTGTTGTCTTCGACGCAGGACCATCCATTCCTGAGCATGTATGATGACCTGCATGTAGATCTTGCTTCGTACTTCACTACCGCAGGATCTCCCCTTGCCACCTTCAAGTGATAACAGTGTCCTTGTTCTTTTTTTCTGTATCCATTTTTGCGCACAAAAGTGATACATTTTCTTTTATATACAGTTCCAGGCAACTCTAATTTTTTGTCCTCCTTAAGCAAAGGGTGTGGCGACTGAATCCAAGCATGGTGGATCTCCTGGAAGGACTGGTGACACCTCTGGAAGCTGATGATGTGCAGAGCTGTAGTTTACTGACACGAATGTTCGAGACCCCCCTGCCCCCACTTCTCTCTTCTTTCCATTTTCGACAAGGCTTGGGTTGTGTAATGATCTTGTGTGTGTCATGTGATTGGTTCCATCACTACATATATGACATACATGTACAGCATTTTAGGATGAATGAGCACGGAAGTTTTGCCTATCTATATATCGGCAGCACCGTTTGGTCATGTTTGTTTCACCTTGTAATGTATTGGCTCAGTTATTGGATTGGCCATTATCTAATTTGGTGTATGAGTCAAGTCCAATTTTTCTTGTATCCTGATGTCTTTTTTTTTGTTTAAAGACTCGAGACATTCCGGTATCGGTAATGTTGGGTATAGGACGTCCATCCGCCCGAACGTAGCCGATGGTGGGCTGCAACGCAGCCCAACAACCGCATCTTATCTGCTCATCCAATCGTTCTAAAAAAAACTTACCTCTACGCAGCGCCGTGACAGCTCTCTGTGACTGCGCGCCGCCTCGGCGACGGCGCTCTCCACCGCGCCTCCCTCTCCATCGCGCCTTCGCTCCGCCCCGCCGGTCGGCATCTCCTCTGCGACAGAGCACGGAATGCAGCCCGTCTTCCTCCCTCTCCACCGCGGACTTCTCCAGCGCACTGACCCGCTGCAGCCTTCTCCACGAGATCTGTCGTGGCATTCTCCACCGGAGCAGCGAGTTCCGCGCCACCGGCGAGCTCTACACCGGTGAACTCCATGCGCCGACGTGCCTCCATTCCCAAGCAGCAAGATATTGCGCTGAAATCGCACGTTGCAAACGTATGTTAAGTGTTTCGGATGTTTTAGAGGTATGTTGCAAATATTTCATATGGATGCTGTAAAAGTAGATCGGGATATTGCATATGCTGCAAGTATTTTAGAGGCATGTTGTAAGCATTTTGATTTGGATGTTGCATATGTTTCACACATGTTGCAAGAGTATGTTCCAAATGTTTCAGCTGTTTCATTTTTATGTTGAAGTAAGTATTTCATATTGCAAGTGTTTTATCTTGATGTTGCATATATTTCACACATATGTTGCAAGTGTATGTTCCAAATGTTTCATCTGCTTCAAACTTATGTTGCATTCAATTGTTTCATGTTGCAAGTGCTTCGTGTTTCAGAGGTATGTTCAGAGAGTCATGGAGGCACGGCCCGGGTGCTGCAAGAAGGTACACGGCGAGCCGGGGGCCGGTAGATGGGGCGCACGACGCGCATGGGGGCCTACGGATGGGGCGTGCTCGTCCTCATCCGGGCTCCCGGGTCCCGCCCGCGTGGAGAGAGGAGGGGTCAGGGGGAAGGAGTGGCGAGCGTCACCAGGGTGCGGGTGTGGGGTAGGGCGAGGCGGACGGGAGCGGGTTTCGCGTGCGGGGTGGGACAAGGTAGACGGGGGACGGACGTGCACGCGCAACAACGATACAGCGCAGCGGCATGTGCGGGCGGGCGGGCTGGGGTAGCAACATGTGCGGGGCGTCCGGATGCGGTCATCTGTTCCGGACATCCGGGCGCTAGTAAGTCCCTTCCAGTGCATATTACGGTGGCGTTCAGGGTTGAAGACATTTTTGTCGGGGGGAAGGGTTGAAGACATTTGTGTTGTACTGTTGTCTGTTAGCTGTTGTCTGCTACATGCCACTAGTGGAGAAATGAGATCTAGTCCCGGTTGGGAACTAGCTCTACTCTCGGTTTCCCAACCGGGACTAGCAATCCGGGACTAAAGGTTGGGATCTTTAGTCCCGGGCACATAACCGGGACTAAAGGTCCATCCCCAGGAGAAAAAATAAACGAAATACTAGGGAGACCTCTCTTGCGGTGTATGAGATTCGAACCCAGGATCTCTCTCCTCACGCATAAACTCTTTACCAACTCAGCTGTACACCACATGTGACAGAGTCCTGGACACTCTCCTTTTGAATTGACCCATGGGATACCTTTAGTCACGGGTGAAAGACCTTTAATCCGGGTTGGTGATACCAACTGGGACTAAAAGGTCACCCTTTAGTCCCGGTTGGTAAGGTTGAAGGACCTTTAGTCCGGGTTGGTAACAACAACTGGGACTAAAATGTTGACCTTTAGTTCCGGTTTTAGGCTCCAACCAGGACTAAAGGTGGCATGCTGCGAAAGGCTGCCAGGACAGGAGCCTTTAGTCCATGTTGGTAGCTCCAACCGGGACTAATTCTTCCTCTACTCTCGGACGCAAAAAATATCGAGACTAAAGCCCAAAATCAAAATAAATGAAAGGTCATTTTTCTACTAGTGCGTAGAATGAGTCAAGTTTCTCATTATCGATCAAACCCTGTTAATAATCACCACCAAATATTTATATACTAATATATATCTAGTAACTGCATATGCGTACGTGATGGTTGACATATACAGTACCTTTGATGCCATTTCGTGTAGGATGGCATTTGTGAATTCCCAAAACAGAATGGCACGCTCCGGCTTATCATCAGAACGCTGTCCAAGAAGGGAGAAAACCATCCGGCCTCCGGGAACCATCTCTTGAGCTCGCAGATGCAAGATCCGTTTGAAATCATCGTTAAACTGCCGAGCATAGGCCTTGATGACTGTGGAACGTCGAGCACGCCTCACCGCCTCGTCCTGTCATAAAACGGGATTCCGTTCCTCACCAGGTCTTCAGGTGCCTGTTAATGTTATATTTTTTGGCCGGTTAACGCAATCTAGAAAAAACAAAATATCTTATAATTTTGGAATGGAGGGAGTACTATATGTAATTAACATAGAGAGCTTGACCCAGTTGGTCTCATACCGAATGGAGGCTACGCTTGTTGAAGAGCCGCCCGTGAAATGAGCCAGGAACGATGCTGGTCAAGACAGGAGGACTGAAGCTTTCTTGGGTTTTTATGTACGTGGCCAGGCTCCTGATGACCAAGTTGAAGTCGTTGCTTGGGAGGTCGTTGAGGTCTATGCAGAGCTCCGGTGGCTGCTGCCGGAGCTCCGATCAGCGGCGGCGGACGGCATCCACGGCCGTGGACACGAGCACCAGCGTGTTTGGACCGGAGGAACAGCCCAGGTCGGCGATCGCCATTCCACCGGAGTATGCGTGGCCAGTGGCACCATCGTCGTTGAGCAGGCTTGCCACACGGCTTCTTCTATCATTGACTTTAGTTTGCTTTGCAGGCCACTCTGGATAGTAGATGCATGGAAAATTCCCACATTAGTAATCTGGATAGAAGGAAATAATATTTCTACAATTATCAACGAAAAACACATATACTCTAGTTTTCAAATTGACAAGAAATATTTTCATTATCTAGAAAAATATTTATTATTAATCATCATTCGGAGGCACCTAAACTTCCAAACTACTTATACCAAATATGTTATCCACACGATCAAATTTTCTTGTTTGGAGCAACCAAGTTGACTTGCAGTTACTACTAGTTCTGAACTGCTGTCCGAAGCCTCAAGTTCTGTCCATAACCGCATTAAGAACACAACAGTCCGATTAATCCCTGGCTGACTCTCCGAATATGCTGGGGGCTCGGGGCTACACTCATCGGGTGCGTCTTCCATATCAGAGGGGCGAGCCTAAGAAAGGCAAAGTCAAAAGCCAGCTTCAAAATCTGTCAGACAGGCGCAGAAGCACTACACTGCTGTCCCGTTTCACAGCAGCGAGGAGTTGTCGGTCACCCCCTCGGTAGGGTCATGCCTAGGGCATGACGCGCTAGGACAAGGAACCTTCGGAGCCCGAAGTGGGGGACTCCTGGCCCACTTGGCAACCCCTCGCGCAAAAGGAGGAGCTTGGCATGTCAAAGAGGCTAGGAGAAGGCTCACCCAGGGAAGGCCCCACTACGGCAGACGGCATTCAGCGGTTAGTGCTAGGCTGCACAGGTGTTAGGGAGTGGTTGTGGTTTTGTTGGTCCCCAGCTAGAAGACAAAGAAGGACCGACGGCGCCATGAAGAAGAAGACCGAATCCCAAGGCAAGAAGCCCTAGGTGAAGAACCATTCACTATATAAGGGAAGGCATGGACTCTCGTAGAAGGGGACGATTGGACCGAGACCCGATCGGACGATCTCACCAAGAACCCTAAATCAACATAGTGCTACCCCTACCACTCCCTCTCTATCTCCATTCCTCCATTGTAATAACTTTGGTTTGAGCACTCACTACACCAGATTTCATAATCACTGCCGGGTCAGAACCCCCTATCACTGTCGGATTTGGCTCCGGCGGTGGACAATCGACACCCTCATTACTGTTGGGTTTACAACGGGCAATAATAAGATGCAACACATGTAACTATATAGCTGATTTTTTTTAGTTACACAATTTTGAATCTTATATTGTATATTTGATACTTCAAACGATCTCAAATAAAGAAGTTGTTAACTGCAAAGTTGTAGATCTCGTCGAGTGTTACAAATTTGATGTTGAGTTCATCTCCATTTAACATTGTTAACCATCTCAAATCTGATATGAGAACTTTTGAACATGTAAATCGTCTCAAATCAAAGTGTCTACCATAAAGTTTTATCTCTCTTTAAACTCTATAACTTTGACATAAAGTTTATCTTAATCCGATGTCATAAGAAAAAAATATGATTTTTTATGGAAAACAGTCTATCACTGTCGGTTCGTGGCCACACACTAGCAGTGATGGGTGGACCTATGACCACCGGTTCGTGGCATCAACCAGTAGTGATAGTGCCATGTCTACCGATGCCAGTTAGAGCCACGAACCGGCAGTGATAGTTCACCTATCACTACCGGTTGTGCTATCACTGCTAGTGGAAGTCATGAACCGACATTGATCTCCTGATCACTATCGGCTTCACCATAATTGACAGTGATGGTCCAACAGTAATTGCGTGTTCTGGCGTAGTGATTCCTAACATGAAGAGCACCAAACTGTTGGATGTAGTGCTAAGGATAAATCTCTCGTGTTCCTGAGTGTTTTGAGTGCTTAAGCCACCGGAGGTCCGCACATCGACCCCCGACGAACAACATGATGCTTGCCGTGCACTACTTGAAAAATGATTTTAGGACACATGATCAAACATTTTCAGAGTCGGGCACACCTAACGACCGCCTCCGTAAATGATTAGGGAGGCCTAGGAAAACGCCCGTCTCAAAAAAATCAATCATGGAGACAGATGTCCTAAGATGACCGTCGTCTCCAAAAATCATCGAGTAGGAAGCCGGCATCTTAAGATGTCCGCCTCCGTTATTTTTTCAGAATGTTTACGACTAGTTTTCGGTGGTTGCAAAACTAATTTGTTTTTAGTGGTGCAGTTGTTCTCCAAACTATTTTGAAATGTAACTGACAGTATCTCGAAGAGTCCTCTTAAATTTGGGGGCTTTGACAGGAATAAGAATAAGCCTGAGGAAGGCCCTTTCTGAAATGAAACAAACAAAGAGCCATGGGCTATTGGGCTGTGATATATTAAGTTCTCCATTGCCCATCTCTTCTCGCGTTAAATTCAGTTATTAAGCTCACATTTGAATGACAGACATAAGACGATTCAAATAGCATAATAATTAGACCAAAAAGAAACGCTCAAAAAGATACATGGATACCTGAACAGTGGAGTTGCGAGCGTAGCTTGTCTCTCCGTCTCCAGGAACCAAGTGCAGAGTTTCCTCCACTACTAGTCTGGCTGCCATGGCGTCCGCTGTGTCTCTCCCTCACGCAGTTTTCGCACGACGGTTGCACTGCACCTCCAAACTAAACCAGTATGCAGTTGCCAAAATCCAACAGATAGCAAGGCAACATGTCAGACGTACGTTGAGGATTACTGGTCTTTATAGTTGAACTCAGATTGCAGAGAGGTGTACTAGTGGGTCAACTGCATGCAGCCATGTTCTTCTCAGATACCGTATCTCTATTTTCTACGGCACTAGAAGTGGATGGATCTCGATGTCTAGATATCAGAAACATCCGATATCCGTATCCTTTTTAGTTTAAAAAGGATATCTGTATTCGTATTCGATTTATGTTAAATGGATGTATCCGTATTCGTTTTTGAAGATTATTCTCTATCCAATTCCATATCTATATCCAACCAAAATGTGAAATATCTGATATTATCCGTTTCTGCGAAATACAAATTATTTTAAAGCCATCTAAATCTTATAATTATGACTAATTAACTATGTAAATGATAATAATTTTAATATAACAGATGATATGTACCATTATTTAAAAGTTATATATAGCTAATGTAATTTTAGTATTATTATCGATATATAAATCCAAAGTTCAATTAATTTTAATATGGCTAATAATATTAATTAGTATTTTATTTTATTTATATACTTCTACAATTTATTTTTATTCATTTGAATTTAGTAATTAATATATATTATCTCTTATTTTCTTATATTTTATATATTTGATTATTTAAATATTTTTTGGTACTTGTCTTTATCCACAGTGTTATATAGCTATATATTAAATTCCTTCATCCATAATGATTTTATTATACTATGAAACTATCGATAAGCAAATAAATACATGTTATCTTCGAAATAAAGTGGATATCGAAATTTGAATCCGAATTTGAGATATCCGTTTTGCATTAGTATCCGACAGTACCCGTATTCGTATTCGAGTTTGAATTAAAATGTGGTAAACAGTGGTATCTGAATCCGTATCCGTCTCAATCCGATCCGAATCCATCCTTAACTAGAAGAGACCCTACTTGTCCTTCTATGGGCTCGTTCTTATCGGTTCCACTTCCACACCGGGCTGAACACTTCTGAAAGCAGCAGATCAAATGTTGTTCGTGTATATTTTGCACTCCCCCATCTCGAAATGTGATATTTTTTCTTTTGCCTACGTGTGGAACTCTACTGAGTTCAGCAAAATTTATAGAAGAAAAACAATAACATTTACGATACCACCAAATAAGGGTCGTTAGATAGATGATGAAATACATTTTTATAAGTTGTCTCCTTGATGTTATATAGATGTTAGTAGATTTAGGATAATTTCATTTTTGATAAATTCGGACCCATTATATTCCATTTAAATTTAGAGTAGTTTGACTTTTGATAAATTTGGATCCATTGTATTTCAAAATAAAGGTATTAACTTTATTGGTTGACTCATTTATTTGTACAATTTGTTTGCACTTATAACTGATTGACTCAAGTTGGTGACATTTTGATTACCTAACTGGCTGACTTATGAGATTAGAGCAACTCCACTAGACCCCCTTTCCTATTTTCCTCAAATTCTAGTATACTCAGAGTTTAAATTCTTCTCATAGTAGGAGGTTGAGAAAACTAAATTTCAGAGTATAGGGGATATATGCTCTAGCTGATTGAGAAAGCCTCAGCCCTTAATGGTCCTGTTCGGCTGGTAGAATTTTGGTTGAAACTGACTGAAAAATATTGTTCTGGCTGAATTGTTGCGAGAGAAAAACACTGTTCCGGCTAAACAAAGAAGCCGAACAAGCCGAATATGGGGTAAGCCGAACGGGGCCATATGGGTCCCACACAAATCAGTGGTGAAAAATACCTCTTTCTCCTTTCTTCTCTCTTTCCCGTTGCGGGCTATTCCTTCTTACGATGTTGGCAGCAGTCTCTTCCTCTCCTCCTGATGCCGGCGGTCTCTTGCAAGGGACGGCGCCACTACTACAC